AGAGCTAGATTCTGATTAATGTTTTTTCTCACACAGTCGTTTTAAATAAATATTATTAAAATTCTATTGTTTTTTCTTCTCAATCTTAGTAAATAAATTTTATTCAAATATAATGTTTTTTCACTTTTAATCTTTGTAATTGAGTTTTATTAAATAAAATCTTTTTTTTGGAATTACACGTGTTATTTTTTATTCATATCTTATTAATCAAGTTAAACATTCTATTTACTACACAATTAACATAAATATTACTGTGTCAATTTATATTTTAACCTGCCTAAAAGTTATTATAAGTTACTAGTGGCCCGCCCTCGCTTTGCTTCGGAGTAGAGCTGTAGTGTAGACTATAGTGTTTGTTCAAAGGCTTGTATTATACACAATGACCTTCTTCATAATAATTATAAATCTTCCATTCCAATTAAAAAAAATTTTGCGTAGTTTAGCACCCATTGTACCGAATGCAACATCGCTCTGCTGTTCCGATTTGAAAAATTATTTTTGTATTGGACTGTGCATTTATCGAGAAAGGATATTATTACCCGGCTACTACCAGTAGCAGCGGAGCATCGATGAAAAATGTTGCAAAACGGGTAAAAAAAATCCATTTGTGAGATTCCGCTGCGTGCGCTGGGTAAACGGTTAAAGTTACACAAAAATCATGTATGACGGCATTCTTTCCCTTTATAAGTTCTTTAAAAAAGCCCACGACAGCCTATGTCTATATTTTAAGTTTGACTCACTATAAACCTTTTTCTTCAAATTAACGCGGGTAAAATCGCAAAGGACCTCTAGTTGTGACATAACTGTAATAGTTAGACATGGTACCGCGGACATTTTTGTATTTATTGGTATCCTCTAGAAAACTTTAGTACATCACTTTGCTCTATCATACGCGAGGTAAGACTACTTTTAAGTATTATTTACACACGTTGGGTTACATTATCGAAGTTTTCATACGGAACCTCAACTTTTTTGAAAATACACTATAGCCTTATATTAATCAGTGATAATGTAGCATTCAAATGGTAAAAGAATTTTTAAAATCGGTCCAGTAGTTTTTGAGCCAATTCGTTACAAACATCATCATCATCATCACCAGCCTGTTAATGTCCCCACTGCTGGGGCACAGCCCTTCCCTATGGATGAAATAGGGAAGATTGGGCCATGACCCACCACGCGGGCCCAGTGCGGATTGGCGGGTGCTAACGACTGCAGATGCAACCGGGACCAACGGCTTAACGTGCCTTCCGAAGCACGGAGGAACTCGAGATAGAAGATTTTTGGTCACCCATCCAATGACCGACCACCGCGAAAGTTGCTTAACTTCAACTATCTCAGCCGAACGCGCTAATCACCTGCGCTATCGAGCTCCTCAACGAACATACTTACATACAAACCTTTCCTCTGTATAATATTAGTATAGATAGATAATAATAAATAACAGCGCAAATAGGCAATACCCAACAATTTCCATAGCTCATTTAATTTTACAAGTAAGAAGGTAAATGTATAAATAAATGTGATTACGTTTACCCGCCAATATCTAACAAAACACGATAAGCCGTACACAGGTACGATGCTAGTTGTCGTGTCGGAGCACATAATGCAGGACGATGCCCTTTCATTAGTAGAACAGTAATTAAGTAACTTGCAGGTATTTATTATATTTCTATTTACAATTTTTACTTATAATGTCTTGCAAGATTTCTGTCGGTATTTCGTTCATTAAGAATGTTACCTACTAAGAATGCATTGGTTCGTTTACCGTAATATTTTTTTGTTTTAGGAATATCAAATTTTAAATGAGTGATTTTTCCACCTATTGTTTTATGATTTCTTTTTATTTGTACCTATATCTTTATTGTCAAATTGTTCAATCAATATCATCCATTTTACTTAAGAATATATAGGTAAAATTAAACAATATTTAAACATACCGTCATCGCTAATATCTTCACCGTTACAAAGTGTTTTTCTGATTTTTGTAGGTAATATTATTTAAAAATTCTAATTTGTAATTTATAAATTCTGTGTTATAAGTTTTAAACGTTCTGCCATAGCTAGTAATGCCTTACAAAATGATTGACTCCACCTGGTTCACTCCACTCCATTTGGTCTCTTATAAGTTCATAAATAAATTAATAATTAATTGCTTTTGTTTTCAGGTGTGATGCTATCAAGGTTTCACTTTTTGAGCAGCATTGATTTTGCTGTCCAACATCTAGAATGGGACAAATTCATTTACATAGGACATTCCATGGGAGCCGGCCAAGGTAGATATCATTTTCAACTTTTGGAACAGTCGCTAAGGTATGAGCGATCAATCTGCGATCGTGATAATTAAGCAACTTTCGCTGTGGTCTGTGATAGGATTGGTGATCGAAAATTGTTACCTCTCGTCATAGTCATATAGGCATCGTCATAAATAGGCATATTAATATACTAGTGGTACTGTACTGTAGCGGACTATAGTTTGTTCTCAGGCTTGTATTACACACAATGACATTCATCTATGATTCTTCTTATACCTGCATGCAAATTCTCAGCCCGATCGGTTTAAAATTGTCAAAGTTTCATACAAACTTTCATTCCCTATTTTATCCCCTTGGGGGTAGAATTGATCAAAATCCTTTCTTAGCAGATGCCTACGTCATCACATCTACCTGCATGCCAAATTTCAGCCCGATCCGTCCAGTGGTTTGGGCTGTGCGTTGATAGATCACTATGTCAGTCAGTCACCTTTGAGTTTTATATATATATAGATTTGTAACCTTTAGTTTAGAAACACATATGGTCTGAATACAAGCGAGGAGGTTAGGAACAAAACAAATATATTTTTATCAAATATTTATGTGCCAATTATTGTATAAAAATTAATGTATTATAAGGTTATCTTGCTGGTTTTGAAACTTGGAAAAAAAAATATAAAAAAATACAAATCAAATGACACCCTTTGATCCAATACTTTGACGACCTCCGTGGCCGAGTGGTTTGTACGCCGGCTTTTCTGGTGTCGCCGACTCGAGAGGTCCCGGGTTCGAATCCTGGTGGGGGCAGATGCTTGTGTGATGAATACGAGCATTTGTACTCCCGTCATGGATGTTAACATGTATTTCTATATAAATATACTTATACTTATATATGTACAGTATATGTATTCTATCCGTTACCCTAGCATCCCATAACACAAGCCTTACAGTGCTTACATTGGGGCTAGGCTAATTGGTGTGAGTGTTGGAAATATCTCTTATCTAATAGACAAGTCCGTCCGTCCGTGGTGCTGTTTCAGCGGCCAAACCGTAAGAGATAGATAAAGAGAATGTTTAAGTTATAAGTTAAGAATAGTCTGATAAGACTACAAACCGGATTTGAGTAACGGAGCACTTCCGGTTTTCGAGAAATCACGTGATTTCTATTTCAAACGAAACCACACAAAATCTCCGAAGTTCTCAATTAATTAAATACATTTTTTTTTTGGTGAACATTTGGTTCACTTCTTTGCTAGTTTATATTTAATAGCTTGTAAATGTCACTATTTGATTCAATAATTTTGTAAAATATCACCTTTTGAAACTCACTCTCTATAAAATGTTACCTTATGAAACATTCAGTATGAAAATAAAAATAAAAATAGATTCACACAAAATATTTTTATTTCTTATACATGTAATTCTCCACAATCAGATTCCCAGTTTGAACCGATTAAAGACTTCAAACGTATTTCTTAAGAATATGTCACTTTTTTAATTCAAGCCTTAATAATCACTCTGATTGAATAAAAATTAAACTTTTTGTTCCGGAAGCAGCAGCTCACATCGATTTTTTCTATGAAACTAAGTAGTCACATTTTTAACAAAATCTTGGGAGTTACAAATAGAATTTAACATTTTGAGTCAATTAAAATAAAAAAAAACCGAATGGAGCAAAATACGTAAATGACACTTTTCGTTCCTAACCTCCTCAAATGTTAGACACGGTTTCAAACCTCGTTTAGGCAAACTTTGTATGTAATTTTTCCGAAAACCCGTGTTTATACTAATAGTAATAATATCGTTTATTGTCAGACAACACAATTCCATATGTTAGTATACAATATAACTTATAACTAAGGGTTAGTAGCCTATAAGTAAGTATTCACAAAAGTTTTGCATTTTTAATACGTCACGTACCTTAGAGGCACACCGCGCGAGCGACACCAGGGGGGGGGGGGGGGGGGGGCATATGCGGAAATGCTTAGGGAAACGCTAACGCTTACGATTTCATTTTGTTATTTCTAGCCGCCTGAGGTTTTCAAATGCCTCGCGCTCTTTTTTTTCTTTTGCATTGGTAATTAAAGAATATAATATTAAAGAAAATGAGCGTCAGGTATTTGAAAACCTTCGGCGTCAGAAATAACTAAATGAAATCGAAAGCGTTAGCGTTTTCCAAAGCATTTCCGTTAGGCGAATGACCCCCAGGAGGAATAATTAACTTCTATTTCAGTCATCATTCGCACGGAGTGCCTCCAAAATGGTGCATGCGGATCACCTGCCACGACTCTCAGAATGGTGTTGTTACTGCTCCGCACTCTACACATCAAGGACGCAACTTTTTAAATAATAATAATAATGTAAATAATAATAAATATTTCCAACACTCACACCAATTAGCCTTGCCCCAAAGTAAGCACTGTAAGGCTTGTGTTAAGGGATGCTAGGGTAACGGATAGAATACATACTGTACTTATATAAGTATATTTATATAGAAATACATATTAAACATCCATGACTGGAGTACAAATGCTCGTATTCATCACACAAACATCTGCCCCCACCGGGATTCGAACCCAGGACCTTCGAGTCGGCGACACCATGAAACCCGGCGTACAAACCACTCGGCCGCGGAGGTCGTCATTCACGAGAGTCCATCGATTTTTTCATATATCGGGACCACAGACTTCCAGTTTTACGCAACTCAATTTTTTTTGAAGTAATAAGGTTTAATGTTAATTATATTTACAGGTCTCTTCTATAACGCTATATACCCGAACAAAATCAGCAAGTTCATATTGTTCGATCCGATGCCGTCCCTGCTAGGGATGTATCATCCCGATCCCGTACAGTATTACAGCATGTTCTATGAAAAGTATTACAGTAACTACAGGGAACACAATAGTAATAACCAGACGACAAGCAAGAGAAAAGCCATACAATCTGTGATGAGAGCTCGAGGTGTAAATGAAAGTCAAGCCGAGTTGGTGCTTAGTAGGAATTTGGAAAAAGTTGGAGATAATTCGTATAGGTAAGACTTTATTTGTTTTTTTTAAGACATCTAGATACTGTGTGGATAGAATGTTTTTATTTATATACAGTAGAATCCGTTTATTACGACTCCACCTATATTGACCAACCGATTAGTATGACGTTATTACACTACGAAGTTTGGTATTCATATAAAATTATTTGTTAAATAAAAGTCGGATATAATGACTTCCCTTACAGTGACATGTCGCTTATTATGACCCATTATTGATAAACTATGTTCGGTTATAATGACCGACATGATTCTTTACACGTTCGGTAATGTTCGTTGATTTCTGACGACGCTCGGCACGTGGCTCATTTTTGTTTTTAATCTCAGTGAGTAATTGACACTTGAAGGTCACGCATTGTTTTTAGTGATGTCCTGTGAAAAAATGTCATCTCAACGCCACCGCCAACAATAGAGACTGTTATTACAATAAAATGAAAAAACAAAAGCAGACATAATTACAGATTACTTACATTAAAAAATCAAAAATATAGTACATACATACATCTATCGTATGTACTTATTACGTGCAAATTTACGTTATTATTTTGATTCACAAGCCTACGCAGCCTCTTAGATTAAGTTTTTTGTTTTATATTAATAAAATATTAATAACTTCTCTTATTTGTATATTAAGTGATTGTCTTGTGTCTCCGTCCTTTGATGTCCAAATTAGGTCCCTCCAGAACATCAGCGTTGCAGCGGCAATCCATTTTTGCCTTTGCAACATTATGCTGAGGTGAGGCCTAGTTGACGATGGACCTTATGTTTTATGTGTATTTAATTTAATTGTAAATGTATGTCGTCAATAAATGTTTTTCTTTCTTTCTGATTTAATATATGTACTAAGTTTCTCTATTAAAATACATAAGTACCTACATTTTTTTTCACAAAACGCTTTGTATGACGTCCGCTTATTATGACGTGTTTGTCAATTCCCTTCGATGTCATTATAAACGCATTCCACTGTATTACTAGCTGTCCCAGCGAACTTCGTACCGCCATGCCATTATAAAAATAGGGGTTGGTGGTATAAGGGTGAAAATTTAGGGTTATATGTATTTTGTATGATGTATCATAAAAATAAAAACAAAAAAAAATTAAGGGTGGACCAACCTTAACATTTAGGGGGATGAAAAATAGATGATGTCCGATTCTCAGACCTACTGAATACGCATATAAAATTTCACGAAAATCGGTCGAGCCGTTTGGGAGTATTTAATTACGCACACCGTGACACGAGAATTTTATATATTAGATATCGTCATTTACTTTAAAGAAGGTAGCTACAAAGAGTTAAGCCTAATAAACGAGCGCTTTTAAATGCGATTTGTAAAACTGCTGAGACAAATAAATAAAAAAACAATTCAGGAGAGGCAAGCCTTATGGTACAGTGCTACCTCTAAAAATCGTAGTTGAACTGAAATATATTACAAGTATCAAACATTTGTAAATACCTTTATATATTTTTTCTTATTTTTTGCCTAAAGGTGCGTCCAGATTATATAACATGTTATACGTCTACATGATCTAACATAGTTCGTCGACAGTTGTTCAACATGTTATATAAAATTTCTGTTAGGTATATAATTTGAACGCACTACCAGAAGAAATTCGACACGTCCATTCTCAGTGGTGCAGCGCAGTGATCAGTGCATCCACCCGGATTGCTAATGACGCTGGTTCGATTCCAGTCTGTCAGGGTCAGGTGGTTAACAAATATACAAATTTCACAATTATAATATTACCAGCGGCCGCCCGCTACTTCGTCCGCGTTTAATTAAGTTTTTCAACAATCCCTAAGGAACCTAATAATTTTTCAGGATAAAAATATATCTATGTCTCAATCCAGGTTATAAACTATATGCGTACAAAATTTTATCTAAATCCGTTCAGTAGTTTTTGCGTGATTGAGTTACAAACATACAAACGCGCAAACATACAAACTTTCACATTTATAATTGTTACGATTCTGGCATGAGTCTTTAAACCTAAAGGGCAATGCCCAAAATAGGCTCAGTGTGGACAAGGTGCTTTGCAAACAACAATTTTACATATATTTTTTACCATTTTCTATAACCGTAATATAGTAGAGAGTTTCATTAATAATACAATAAAATTAAATGAAAATTATACGGTCACTTCCTTCTATTAGTAATCTAATGTCACATAATCGAAAACGTGTGCAACAAATGTCAAATTCGATAAAAGTTTCATATATTTATGTCAAAATTTAAAAGTCAGCATGAAAAGTTACCTTTGGAGCCTAGGTTTGGAACGCACCCAAGCTGTCAAAAGAACACTGCGTTTTTTAAATGAAACTTCTTTAGGCACGCTTGACTTGGGGCCTAGGCTGGCGAATGCGTCACGCGTTACGAAAAGTGTCATCGGTGATTCATCGGTAAACAATGAACAATACCCGTCACAAAATACATGAATCTAGTGCTAACTTACATGTTTACTTGATGTTAACTATTGAAATAGGTTTTTTAACTAATTACACGACGTAATTTATCAATAACAATTTACTTTTTTTACTTTTAATTCTGCGCCATTGAAATATGCTGTATGTTTATTTTTTTCTGTCAATAAATGTTCAGGTTAAGTTTATGATTTTTTTGAATTCAGATGTTGTATCTAAGGTACTTAATATCCTTGTATTTATACACTATAATTTATAATATTGTCTCACCAGACTATCCTGGGATCGTCGCTTGAAATTCCCAGCTGCTGAGAATAACCCTATAGACTACTACTGCCATCTATTCTGTAACATTCCACCTACCCTGATCATATCTGCTACAAACAGTAATGTCGATGAAAGGAAGGTTGCCATAGACAAATTAATAGACAGGTTGAAGGCAACCGGAAATTTGACAATGGAAACCATGGAAGGAAACCATGATGTGCATCTTATTAGACCAAAAGAAGTTGCCGAGAAGGTGTTGCCATTTCTCGAGAAAAATGGCTGCAAGTGTAAACTCTAAGAGACTGTTTAATAAATTTTAAATGTAAGTACCGACCTCCATTTTTATGTCAAATAATTGGGAATGTATTATTGTTTATTATTGGGACAAGATATTTGAAAATTTAAGGTCTACTTGCACTATAATTGCGGCACGCTATGATGGCCGTTTTGACACATTACAATAGTGACGTGAAAAGTCAATTCGATATCGAAAAAATATCTAATAGGTACCTTTATAAAATGCAGGTCTCATTAAGGTAGTTATTATATTTTTAAAGTTTTAACCAATATTGCAAGAAGTAGCCGAACACACTTGCAATGACGGCTACCGTTTTTTTATCTCACCAGATGGCGCCACTGTTAAGTGTGGTCCTGAAGTGTAGCTTTTAAGTTTGCGCGCTTGAAATCAAAGTGTACATTTAAATCATATTTTATTACAAAGGAACCGTATCGTAAACATATCCGCCATGTGTTGCGCATTTCCGTTTTTTTCCAGAAAAAAGGAAGACTCGTAACTCATATTTTCCATAAATAATCTGAGTTATTACCAAATATTTACAACATTATTTTAATTAGAAATACATCCGCGTAGTCAATTCACACGCAATAACATTTAACATTTCGGAGACCTCACGCTACACAGGGCCTTTAGCGGCGGATTCATAAGCGATAGGCCTCATATTTGCATGTGAGCTAACCCTTGCGAAAGTTTCAAAACGATTTTATTGATATTTTTTACATTTCCATTATGAAACTTCATGGGCGCACCAATGTCAAAACGGCCGTCATAGCATAGTGCAACTTTATAAAGTTTCTTGTACAAGTCGCGGCACGAAACTACGAGGTACGACTGGAGAGCCAATCGGCGCAACCCACCCCCACCCGCGCACCTCTGTTTCCCCCCAACACATCTTAATTTTTACTTCTGCGCAATAACGGCCTGTGCTAGAATTTCGTGTCGAGACTTATAAAACGATTGAAGGCAAAAATTCATTTCAAAACAAAAAAAATGTATGTATAATAATATTTTTTTATTGTTAATTTATTTAAATAGATTTCTTTAACGGCCGTACTCAAATAAAGTCAAATAAAGTTCGAACATTTTTTGTATGAAAGCTGGCATATCAACACCAGACGCCATTTTTTTTTTCGAAATCGCAGCGGACGATGAAAGTATTATGTATAGGTAGAGGACACCTAGTCGAACAAAAGAATATCAAGTAACTTTGTACCCAGAGTGTCACGGTACCATATTGACATTCGTACAGTCCGACTTATAAATATTATGTCAATCGTCCTGTACTCGGAAGTCGATGTTTACCTCCAAATATCAGGAGAGGTGGTGGGTTGGAGTGCTGGGGGCCAACGAGTAGCGCTTGCGTCTTGTTTACGCGTATGCGCCATTTCTAGAGTCACAGTGTTAAGGCCTCCAGTGTAGGTTGTAATTTGGCAGCTGCGTGGTTGGGGCGGATTGATGAGCTGACGTAGGCGGTGTCATTCGTGTATAACGCGAGTATGTCTTGTAGTAGTGCGAAATACGGCTTTGTTTATTGTGTCTGGTCAGGGAGCTTTTCTGGGTTTTTCTTTGTAAATCTCTCTCTATACCTCCTTTAGGGAGAAAAATATAGAGTTCGAGTTTGTTTCTAGCGGCACCAACAGATAGCTAATAACGTGCGACGTCACGGTCGCGGTGTGCTCACCGTCTGTCGTGTCGTTGAGTGTGAATAGGCGCTCGAGGTGGTTTGCCAAGAACTCGGCGCGGTCTTCGGCGCGCGGTAGCGTGGGTGGCCGTTCTCAACGATGAAGGGGCGTGGTGTTTTTGTGGTCGACGGAGAGAGTTGTTTGCATAAGCGGTGCATGGATTGCATATCACCGCCTACGCTCAGCAAGTGTCGATCCCACGATGCAGCTGCTTGGTCGTCTTTAAGTGCGTTTAGTCGAGTCTTTATATTGGGGCAGAAATCAATTTTTTTTATTCATTTACAATGATAATGATTTTGCTATTTAATTTATTCTAATAAAACGTACAACTCGAAATTCAAATACATAATTAATAAATTTAATATTGTCTACAAAAACTTAAAATGATTCACTGTTCTTCGTCAGAGCTGCAGACCTTCGTTGATACAATACAGTACTCCAAATCTTCCAAGTTTTTGAGATTTTCATCGCCTTCGTCATCAGAGAAACTACATTCTGTAAAAAAATTTTGTTTGTTGATTGTTGGTTGATGTTCTTAGCGCAGACTGTACCACGGTTGTTAGCTCACTTGTGATCGATTCGACGTCTTCGGGGGTGTTTATGGGTCGCGTTGTGGTGTTGTTTGCCGCTGTGCGCTGGAAGGCGTCCCAGTTGACGGTTGCATGCGGAGTGGGAGGCATCATGCGTGTGGGTAGACTGCTTATGGTACACAAGAAAGGGCGGTGGTCCGAGGGTAGGTCTAACATTACCTCCCATGTAATGAGACCGACGATGTCGCGGTGAACTATTATGTCCAAGACGTCGTCGACTCGTCCCGGATCATGTCGTGTCGGCTCGAAGGAGGCCGACACGTCGTAGTTATGATCGACGATGGCATCTTGAAAAATAGTGCGGCTGGCTGGGTTGGTGGAGTGCCAGGCGGTGTGCTTTGTGTTTAAATCGCTCGCCAAGATGATAGGTAGCGGGCGCAGGAGATTTCTAAACTCACCGATGTTGAGTGCTGAGCCCGGCGGTTTGTAAATCGCGCACACTCGTATCTCGTGTCCGCCAAGCATTGGGGGGGGGGGGGGGGGGGCTCTGATGAATGATGCGGCGATGAACTAGGACCATTAGTCCCCTAAAGTTTCGTCCTGCCTGTATACAATGTGATTTGGAATGCGAAATTGTGTGTTGGGGGCGAGCCTAGTCTCGCTCAACAATGTAACGTCGATGTTGCGTTCGCGTCAAAAGTGGAGCAACATGCGGCGTTTTCTTCCGAGCGACAGGGCGTTCCAAAGTACTAACCTTAGGCCTACGAATTTTGTGTAACAATTTTGCGGTGGCCTAC